TCTCTCTTATTCTGTTTGTCGTACTGCATCGTGTCTGCTGTTTCTCTCTTTTTTCTCTCTCCTCCTTTCTCTCTCTCTCTCTCTCTCTCTCTCGTTCTCTTTTTTTCAGCCGGACGGCCGATCTCTCGAACCGGACGATCGGCGTTCCGTAAAACGTTCCGAGCGTTGACACGCGGGAAATGTTGGATGTTCCGGTGGAACTTGAATTAATCGGTCTCGTGCGGAGAGAGCGTAGCGTAGGCTAGCTAGCTAGCTAGCTAGCTCGCTCGCTCGCGCCAGCGCACGTTCAGTTCAGTTGGGTCGCAGATCCATGTCGCGGACACGTGAATTAACGGGCCGACGAAGATAATTCGATTCGACCGGAGCATCCTCTGTACTCGGTACGCCGCGGCTAACGTCATTCAATCCGATGCATCGTTGATTGAGATCGTTTGGCGTATTAGGCATGCGAGAATTGCTGCTCTGGCATGAGAATTGGTTATGCGCGACCTTTTTAGTTTACCTGTTTTTTCTTTTTTTTTTAATTTATATATATAGCGTTCATTTGACGATTTACAAACATAGCGCAGCTAGAGAAGATCGTTTGACAAATGCATTCGATCTCTCGTTGTTGCGTCTTTTTATATTTATATATTATTTATATTTATATACATTATATAAATATAAACATCTATAGATATATATATATATATAAAGCGTCACTAAGACGGAGCACATTGTAAGATTTGCCCGTCGACGCGCGTTAGAAACAAACCTTTAGTCGGGATTCAACGACGAGACTTAGTCAGCTCTAGAAAAACAGATCTTCACTTGCGTTCTAGCTTTTCTGATTGTATGACATTGTCTATTAGAGTTTCCGTTGAGTTTCTTGAGCGCAATGAGTCTCGTTTACAAGAGGAAGGGTGTGTGAGTGTTTTCACGGGATGATACGGTTTTATTCTCAGGCACGGAGCGAGTGTTGCCCTGTAACGCTCCGATATTCCGTCAAAATTTAACACACCGGCCCTCGTGTTAATATAATGAACTCTGTTTTGGTGACGTTGCAGTGACCACGCCGCTGTTCACACCTGCAGTGGGGGTCGCCGCCGCAGGTGCTGGAGGCGCCGGTGGTGCGGGCGCGAGGAGTTACGTCGATCCTCACACCTACGAGGATCCGAATCAAGCCGTCAGAGAATTCGCTCGCGAGATCGACGCGGGATACATCACGATAGAAGCCATCATAGGTACGCTTCGATCCTTTTCTTGTCAACCAAATTAGAAAACCATCTTGCCAACACCTTTTACCAACCCTCCTCGTCGTCTTCTCTTCACAGGTGGCGGTGAATTCGGCGACGTTTGCCGAGGAAAACTGAAACTGCCGCCAGACGGTCGAACGGAGATCGACGTAGCCATCAAAACCCTGAAGCCCGGCTCCGCGGACAAGGCTCGCAACGATTTCCTGACCGAGGCGTCGATCATGGGCCAGTTCGAGCACCCGAACGTGATATTCCTGCAAGGCGTCGTGACCAAGAGCAACCCGGTGATGATCATCACGGAGTTCATGGAGAACGGCAGCCTGGACACCTTCCTGCGCGCCAACGACGGCAAGTTCCAGGTGCTGCAGCTGGTCGGCATGCTGCGCGGCATCGCGAGCGGCATGCAGTATCTCGCGGAGATGAACTACGTTCATCGCGACCTGGCGGCGAGGAACGTCCTCGTGAACGCAGCCCTCGTTTGCAAGATCGCGGACTTTGGACTGAGCAGGGAGATCGAGAGCGCCACGGAAGGAGCGTATACGACTAGGGTGAGTAGCAACGACTCGAGAGGGACGCTTTATGTGCACCTTTGGGTTCTCTCTTCGTTTTGACTTTCGTTTGACTCTTGGAAGACGATGTTTCGTAAGAAGTTGGATGGCAAGTTTAAAGTACCGGTTTAATAGTTTAACAACAATTTTAAAAAGTATTGTTAGATCTATGAGATGTAGGAAGATTAAAAGAACAATCGCTGAGAAGTATCTTGGTCTAGTTCCTGTTCTGCTTGGAAAATTGCTCCAGTTCTATGAACCATTCGATGTATACCGAATCGTGAACGTTTTAAAACGGACCCAGCCATCGTCTTGCAAGAGCGACTCGAAAAAAGCCGAGACTCGAACGTCTCGCCAAGTAACCGCGAGTGATTCAGCATACGAATCTTGAAAGATCGTTTACTCCGATGAAAAGGGTGGAAAGATTCCGGTCCGATGGACAGCGCCGGAAGCGATAGCGTTCCGGAAGTTCACCAGCGCCTCGGACGTGTGGAGCATGGGCATCGTCTGTTGGGAGGTGATGTCGTACGGCGAGAGGCCGTATTGGAACTGGTCGAATCAGGACGTGATCAAATCGATCGAGAAGGGATACAGGCTTCCAGCGCCGATGGATTGCCCGGAGGCGATCTATCAGCTAATGCTCGACTGCTGGCAGAAGGAGCGGACCCATCGTCCGACCTTCGCCAATCTCACCCAGACCTTGGACAAGCTGATCCGGAGCCCGGAGACGCTCAGGAAAATCGCCCAGAACAGGTAAACGTCTCAATCCTTCCTCGCTGTGAGAAATCTGTCCGCGGCACGCGTCGCGTCCTGTCTTTCTCGCGCAAATCTCCGCGTTGCTCGCGCGTGCATCGCGTCGCGCCGATACTAACCCGTGCGAACGATGCGTTTTTTATTCTATCCAGGTTCGCGTTACCGTTTACGGACTAACGAACGGTCCGCGATAAGAGTCGTTGCCTGTTCATCGCGCGAACGATTCGATGGTCTCGCGAGCAACGCGTTTTATCGAGGTCTGTGTTTCTATTCCGCGCGGCGATCGGCTAATCGCGGCCGAAACGTTCGGCGGAGTTTACATCTCTCTCCTAACCGCCCCCATCGAATCGTTCGTCCATCATCTCTTAACACGATATCATGCCGCATGCCACGCGTTTATTCACACTTCGTGTCCATAAATTAATTTCTCTCGACAGCCAAAGGTTTTTTCCGTTCTCTCGCTGAATACTTGCGAAGCTCACACCGCTCTGCGCTCTCCACGTACGCTGTTAGACTGGGCTTTGATATGTTGTTGCTCATTCGTATAATAGGATGTCACGCCATTGAACGACGTACATATACGACTGTTAATGATACCGTCCAGGATAATTGTCATTTTACGAGAATCTGTGTGTGTGCGCGCGCTCTACCAAACCCGACAGAGACAGATTTTTCGTCCGCACGCGCGACGCGCTCGAGGCGTCGTGAAAAATACCTCGACCTGATTGGCATTACTGGAAGCGGGCAATATATATGTACATATATATATATCCGTAATAATCCGATCTGTACTGGACTGTGATTCTCGTTCGCACCTTTTTCACATTCTCTTTTTTTCC